CCCCCCCGCTTCAAAATCCCCGGCCAGCCTTTATTCGGAAAGAAGTATAGTACTTGTTTTATTATAACAATATATACCAATGTATGCACATTTACTTATTTAGTATATTAATATATTTATATATACATACACACTCACGCCTACATAGACATATGCTTTCTCTACTGTCTACCTTAAAGGAATTGCTGTGAGGGAAGGGACTACAAATCCCGGCGTGCCCCGCGCGGAGAAAACGCCGATCTGGCTCTGACGCTGCCCACGTGACCAGCCTGGCCCTGAGGACCCTGCCATTCCGCTCCGCGCAGGCGCAGTGTCGAATCTTGCTGCGGCTGAGGAGGGCGTGAGGGAGGCGCCGGCGGAGGGGGCGGCGCCGGGTGACGCGTTTCCCTGGAGACGGCGATGTTCTCCTCCTCCTGCTCCTGGGCCTGTAGCTCCATCGTCGCCGTCGCCGTCGGGGCCTGGGCCTGGGCCGGGGGCACCTGCGGGGCCTGGTGGTCCTGCGGGCGCCGGTCTGGCGGGGCCTGGGCCGGGGCCGGGGGAGGCCCCGCTGCGGGGCATGGTGGCGGGGCAGCGGCCGAGGGACCAGGAGGAGCAGGAGGAGCAGGAGGAGCCGGGGCCCGGAAGGGACGATGAGGAGGAGGACGGCGGCGGCGAAGGCGAAGAGGAAGAGGAGGAGGCGCGGGGCCGCCGCGGAGGAGGCCCTGCCGTGGGAGGAGGCCGAGGGAGCCGCCCCGAGGGCCCTCCCTCTCCGTCTCCGTCTCCTCCTCCTGGCCCTGGCCTGCACTTCGGCCTGGTGCCCTCGGAGCTCCACGCGCGGCTGCTGGACCAGCAGGACTACCGGGGCCGCGTGGGGGCCATGGAGCAGCTGAAGCGGGTGCTGGGCGAGGCCCCCGGCCCGGCCCTGGCCTCCCTGCCCAGCCCCAGCCTCCTGGGCCTGCTGGCCCTCCTCCGCGCCCTCCTCGACGACTCCAACTTCAAGGTGGCCCTCGGGGCCCTCGAGGGGCTGCGCCTCCTGGCCGCCCGCCTCGGCGCCGCCGCAAAGAACGCCGGCGGCGGCGGCCAAAGGTGCCCCCGCCCCCCGCGGTGGCTGGAGCCCCTGGTGGCCGCCACGGCCAAGGTCCTGGGCGACGCCAAGCTGGCCATCCGCCAGGAGTACCACCAGCTCTTCCTGGGGCTGATGCGGGCGGCCGGACCCCGCCCCGTCCTG